TAATTCGAATATAATTATTCAATTTAATTCCTAAAGTGATCATCTTTTGTTCATTCCGATGATGAAGGCTAATTAATAAAGCAATTTCTGCCCGCATTATTACAGTCTGAATTTTTTGGAATGGATGCTATAACGGAATCGCCCGGGCGGTATTGGCCTGTATCGCGCAAATATGATACGATAGACGGAAGATATAAGTTTTTTAAGGCGTAAGTTTTTCATGCTTCTGAAAACGCTGGATAGAGGTCAAGAGGCAGAAGCAGAAGGTTTTATCTCAGAGTTTCTCGTTTGAAATAATAATTGCATCAAACAGCAAATTGTATGGTATATTTTTTATTTGATTCTTAATTTCAGGGCCCATGCCTGTCGAATGCAAAGATGTTACCCGATAATACAGCTTGGTCATGCCTCTTATACATCTGTCCGACGTTACAATAAGGTAATTCAATTTTCATGTCGGTACAGCAAATCAGACTTTCTATCTGTATTTTTTACTTCGTTTCCCAGCAAGAGAACAAGTAAGGAATTTTCAGATATCGATGGGAAGTAAAATGGACGTCGATGAACTTACCACATTTTCAGATGCCAAGGAGGTATTTTTGTTATAGAATACTAGAAACAATTTTTTAGCACGAACCAAAATTCTTTCAACCGTAAATAATTCATTAAGGAAACAGTCACTACGATAAACGATTTGCCGAATGATATATTGTTGACAATATTTGCTTATTGTCATCCAATTGATTTGATTCATTGTTTCTCGTTGGTTTCTCGCCGTTGGAATTATTTAGCAAATCATTCCGCTTTGTTCACTGAAGTTCGGGTGTTGGTTAACGATCTTTCGTTAGAATATGGCAGTGTGGAAAGATTTTTTCAGAGGGTAAACTTTTGCAAATAATTGTTTGCTAATAAAATTGGTGGGGGAGTTTTCATAGTTTATGGGTCTTAATTTACCCAAGCCATGAGGAAAGAATTATCGTCTTGTTGTGCAATCACTTTCCTCTGTTTTCTATTTATACTAATTGATAGGTTGCAATTTAAATATACGTCCAATCATTTTGTATAGTTTCAGAATTCGCAACATCTTCGCAAACTATGCATTGATTGTTCGGTTCCCTTACCGTCTGCTAGCGTTAATGCATTATTCGACATTTGTTTTCCTAACGTCGTCCATCTCGATATTGGCTCTTTTAAGGGTACAATTGGAAATTATCTAATGTCGCAGGAAAGTTGCTGTATAAAGAAAAAGTGGTATTAAAAGATCTTAGTAAGAGTTAATTTTCATAAAGTTCAAATTTTTCCTTCCTAAATGACTTTTTTTTTTTGCAGAAATGAATACTGCATTGTTGACAAAATTATCAGACTCCTTCCCCAATATTGAAACACTGCATATGGATGAAGTGGAGCGAGTATGATTTATCCTTGAAACTATATAAACGTTCCTTTCACTATTCATTGTAGTACTGTGATAATAATTATTATTAGTGCAAACTATTAAGCAGTTTATTGCTATCAATATTTTTCTGATGTCTATTTAGTTTGCTTTAGCACTGCACTAAAATATTTGAATAGGGTTGCTGAAATCGATTTCAACTGTTGCAGTATTTTGAGTATTATTTTTTTAGTGTTCTATTTATGACCGAGGTGGAGAAGAATGGAATGAGGTGCTGGAAATGTTGTTTGAAGATGAAACTATTTTCCCGAAAATGCGTAATTTCTTCATGGGTAACATAAACCGGTACTGCTTCGAAACTGGTGCAAAGTTATCGATCTGCAAACGCCCATTAAGTTTATTTCATGTCCGTGATGGAGCAACCAAACTGAAGTAAGCCTTTATTTTCTAAAGTTGCTTAGCGGAGAATACTACCTGCTATTGATCTTTTATATGAAATTTTATGACTATTTCGGAAAATGCTATCTGAATACTACTATTTATTTAATTTTGTCTGAAATTTGATCGGAATTGCAATAGTTTATATGTATGTTTATTAATCATTGCTATATTCATTATGTTAATGATATATTCATCAATATTGTTGTTTTTTAGTTTCTTTGATATCCCAATTTCTCCCTGGAAGTCGACACTTACTGAACTTCATCTTGGATTTTTCATTGAAAACGAAGATTTTCAATATATTGCCCATTTGCATAATTTGAAAGTATTCTCATTGGCTCGCTGTCTTAATACGTCTGATATGGCCTTCGCTCCTTTAAAAGTAAGCAAAGTAGACTTGAAAACACATTTTATATAAAGGTAATGACAGTTAGACCGTTATGGAATATTATTTTGGAAGTTTTATAGTTTTATTTTGAAAGTTTCCGAAAACTAAATAATTCATGCTGTTAACTTCGCAAGGATGTAAAGTCAGTTACCACTTTTTTGAAATCCCTTCTTTCTCAAAATTTGTATCAGTTTATTGAGTTGCAGAATTTGTACAACTTGGAAGAGCTACGGATAAACTGTGGTGGCGAAGATTGTGATCTTTCCAACGAGGGGATGATTGCCTTATTTACTTTACCATACAAAGAACCCGAAAAATCATTCCCCTACAGGCTCAAGCATTTAGAAATTGCGAATTTCCATGCATGCAGAACCGGACTTTTACGAGCTATTGACTACAAGTATGTTGATTTCCCCCTTATTTAAATTATAATGGTATACAAATCTTAGAGTAAAAGTGAATTGAAAAAATCTTCAAGTGTAGAATTTATTAAAAACATTTTTAAGTTATTTATTTCTTGGAGAGGAATATATTATTATAGAAATTAAACATTTGTCATTATAGTTGTCCAGAATTGAAAACACTCGGTGTTCCATACAATAAATATATGGATGACGAAGCTGTGCCATTTATTATCAGTAATTTCAAGTAAGTAGATTTAAGCTTATCCTCATATTTTAATTATTAATTTTCTTTTGATAATGTATGATTTTTAGTCAGTGTTCTAAATTTTCATTCTTCTTTAGGTCAATTTAGAAATTCAGTTTATTTTTTGGTACGTTGCATTATGCAAACAAGAACGCTAAAGTATTTTTTTATTCATGGCTACGACAAAAAATTTTTAAGGATCATTCCAGTCAGCAAATAATGTTTGAGACAATTAGGTTACTATCCGCAGTCCGTCAATCATTTCAAAGGAATCCTGAAGTAAAATGTTTATTTACAATTAATTTTTCCAGGCACTTAATTTTTTTGAATCTTAGCAAGCTTGGTGATTGTTATAAAGATGAAGTCTGGAGTAATCTAAACGACAATGATTTACCTAATTTACGCTTACTCAAACTTCATGGAAATGAGGTATTGTTTATCAAAAATGGTCGGGATTCACTTGGTTACTGTTCAGTATAAAAAATTCTTTTTAATTTTGAAAGGATGATAAAGGTTTTTGCAGACTGCAAAATTAATTTTACTTTCCCAATGTCTTACGTAGGCTTTTTACATACAGTCAAGAATAACGCAGCCGACTGCGACAGGGTTAATATAAGTCGTTTTAAAGAATTGTTTTAAAACAATTAAGGTTAATATTGTTTTAAAACAATATTAACTTTAAAACAATTGTTTAAAATTGTTTTAAGGTTAATATTGAAAATTTGCGACATCTGAATATTAAACGACCTAAACTACTAATCTCAACTAGTTTGAATTATTTTATTAATTGGAGCGAAACTGAAAGTGGTTACATTTTCCATGATACTTTTAATGGTGATATCAGAGCTGTAGAAAACGATTTGCGCCAAATTAATGGTTTTTGTGATTTCACAATTACTTCGCTACCAGTCTTGTTAGTTTGCAAAACTTTTGTTATTTCATGATATACTTGAAGGATTTTAAAATTACATTTTTAACTGTTTTACTTTTTGATATATATTTTGTGTTATTTTCTTTCGTATTTTTTCAATATTTCGTTAAACATGGCATTGTTGATTATCATTGACTTATGTTTTAGTTGTGATGTTCGTCGTGGATCTGCGATGCGTACATCATCGTTTGATTCTTATTATTATACGCATAAGGCGAAACAACCATATAAAATTTCCGTCGATGATGATTCTGTGTAATTACGTGGAAAAAACTACATCTTCAACATGAACTGCAACGAAGCATTCAAAAAAACGCATCCATTTTCAGCTTTTAATTATATTACTTCTTTGACAGAACAGCATCCGCCAAGTGCAATGATCAAGTAATACAACCATCAAGTAATACAAAAAAAGCTAATTTTTTTAAAGTTTCACTAAAGTTACCAGAGAATAAATGTTAACTGCTACTCGATGTTTGAAGCAAAGTGGAAAAATCAGCAAACTGATTAAGCGGGTGTCTTATATACTGTTTGAAATCAAAAAATTGAATTACCAGATATGGAGAAGAGAAGACTTCTGAAATTTTAGCGGAAGAATATAATTTGTGTAGGACAAGCCATTCATTTCAAAATTCCAAGAATTGTCGCACTAACCATAGCACTCTAATGAGACTTCAATCTTTATTAGCAAACAAATTGAGGCGAATGCTTGAAAGTTATGCAAGTAAGGTAGATAATGTTGCAGTTTCAGTTTATGATTTACGAAAGCATAAAAATTATTCATGAAAAATTAAAATTTAGAAAATATTGATTTCTATTTAGTGTAAATTCAATTCAAAATGGATTAAAACAAAACATTCTATGAACAGTATACGCAGACGATGGTGATGAAAGTCATGCAAAAATTCTATAAACAGACGGTGGTAGCTAACACCTACCATATTTAGTTTTTTCTTTTCTTCTTTTACATAACAAAAAGGGCACTTCGGATTTCAAATTAATTTCATGAATCGGTATTTTCCTTTCCATCCTTTTCACTGTTTCTCTATGTTAGTATATTAAAGACTTTCTGACAATACTAAAAAATTATGTTGTTTTGTTGACTCACAAATAAACTCACAATAGCAATTACCATAAGATTCCTAGCCTGATAGTAAGATGAAACTGGTTTGGATTTATCAATTTTATCAACCTGTTAACAATCCTGCAACATTTCTTAACTTCAAATAACATCATAAATGAAATATTCGTCTATTATTGGCCACTGTGACTGATAAAGGACCGGATAAAATTTGATACCAGGTAAAATTCTATATTTAACAATCCCTCGCAGGAGCTTTTCCAAACAAATTAATTGTTGCAATAATGTAAAACTACATCCCAGCTTTCTCATTGATTAATATTGAAAAAGTTCGTGTAATCGAGATGAAAGCTTTTAGTTGCCCAGGTAATAAACATAGATTTGTTTGTTATCAATCACTACTGCTAACCTAATTTCTGCTTGTTGTATTCTTTTTCTCTCACTCAAAAAAAGTGTAATAACTAAGCAAAGTTAATTTTAACTGGAGTAAAGTTAATTTTTTCAAATCATTTGCAATGATAAGTTTAAAATGGTAAATTATGTACAAATGAATCAAATTAGAATTTTGATTAGGGAAACCTGAAGTACTTTTACCTCATTTATTACTCCTTACATATTTTTCTGAAAAATTTTTCAGAATGGTAATTTTAAAATAATTGATTATATATGAATATGAAACTAATAGGTTTGATTAGCCTAAAATGTCTGTGTCTCATGTACTATTTCTGTTATTTATTTATTTTCCAGCTGCTTCGATATAGAATCATATTTATAAAGATGAAAGGAAAGCAAAATCAAAGAGAGAGAAAGAGAGAGAAAGAGAGAGAGAGAGAGAGA